ATTATCTAATTTCAAATGCTGGAAAATGTCCCACTGAAGAAACTAATATACATCTAATTTTAACTAAGACTCAGGATTACTTAGCAACCAAGGCAGAAGTCTACAAAAAATTTTTTAATCCAATACCAGCAGCAAGAAGAATAAAATGTATTAAAAGAATTCTGTTTCAGAAAAGTATCTTTTTAAATTAAACATATCACCAAACTCTGTACATGAAAATAGCCTCCCATTCATGATTTCTTATTTTTGCTATTATTGTTAGTAGTTCCTAGTTTGTAGGAATTTTATTTAGGGCTGGAATTAGGATATACTGATTATGAAGTGCTACAGAAGACTGTATTTTGTTTAAATAAAGGGTTATTATATTCATATATATTAAAATTAAAGGAATTTTAAAATGAAAAATGAAATTAAATTTATTTTGCTCATTAAAACTGGCTTGTATCACAGATAAAGATGCAATATTTCATCTACATTTAAAAAATATTACGTTATTTAAGAAGCAAAAACACCAAAGTAAATTTTGAACACTAGATCAGAAGTTTTCTAGAAAAATGATAACTCTACTAGATTCAACCAGTATTTCACCAAAACTAACATGTGGTTTGACAAAAAGCAGTTTCTTGAGAAAAGTTTCGTGAGAAAAGATGTGACATTGATAATAAAATGTTTTAAGTCCACAGACATGACCCCAATATCCTTTCCTTTCTGGAAAACAAATATGTATATATATATATATATATATATTTGTAAATTTTATTACGTTTGGGAGTAAATGATGGAACTGATTCTCAAGATTCACTATTAGGTAATTCAAAAAATATATGGAGAACAAGGACATTAGGAAATGTTAACTATCAAATATGAAGATATGTGATATTATTCTCTTTTCCAGCAAAGTAAAAATTGTAATTTTCATATAAGCAAAAGAAAACCCAAAAACGTTCTGATAGATGCACTTCAACAGTTTCTTTAAAGTTATGCTATGGGCTATTAAACATACCTGTTACTAAATAATTAAAGAGATTTTATGTTTCTTAGAAAAATACATTGCACCATATTTTAAAGATTAATATGCTTTCATAACACTTCCTCAATGCTTAAATGTTTTATCTGTTAGTAAGTCAAGTATAGAAGTAGAAATAATTAAAACTAATGACGTGTTAACTATTCTGAAAACCACAAGATTTTTACATCTCTTCTGAGATTTCAAGAAAGTCTAAACTTTAAAAAGATTTCTTATTCAGTTTATTACTTTTATTTTTATTTTTTCAGTTTATTACTTCCAATAATGGAAATTCCAAAATACCACAGTGGTCAGTAATTTCCATCTAATGGTATATGAAGAATAACTTCATAAAGTTACTAACTGGATATTCAAGTATTAGATTATATCTGATACACACATATCAGATATTAGAGAACTAAATTCTCAAACTATAAAATTCCATAATACTTTTATTTGGCTCCAAATTTTTTCTTTTCCATCTTTCTTGCAGTTTAGAGACTCAAAGAACAATCTAATATGAATAAATAATAGTTGAATACACATAAATCTCCAAACTAGACTCTATTCTCAAGTGATTATATGTAAAGGTACCATAATCATATCTTTCACAGCTCCCTTGTTTTTAATGTTAAAATTTTTTCTAACCTTTTCCTGTTAGATTTACAAACCAAAACACCCTGCCCATTTTTTGTATGTTACTATCAGTTTTGCCCATTGCAAATTTTGTTGTTGAAATAGTTCTTTGGAGAAAGTCAATTTCTCACATTAATAAAAATAAAATTCATTCCTATAGTGAATCAAAAAAGTCAGTGTAGTCAGTTTTTTTCTTTTCTTTCTTTTCTTTTCTTTTACTGAATGAGTAAATCAATCACACACCAACAGTGTTGTAAATTTAAGTGCAAAAGCATTGAAGTGCTTTACTACAAATTACAACCTAGAAACACGTTAACTGAACAATTAAGATTCATACAATCAGATTTAGATATATAACAACACAAAGTAGGAACAGAATTACAGTACATTTACAACACAAGACAGATACATGAATTCATTAGAAAATATTGTAATAAATAATTCATGAATTATAGTGCAATTGATTTATGCATAAATATAACTAATTGCCTAACAATCAGTTTATATTAACAAAATCTGTCAAAATCAAGGCAGCCACAGAGTTTTACTAAATTACTGCGACAATGGAAATACTGCAATTAAAAAACAAATACAAGTATTTGTACTGTAAACAACTAAAAAAATCAGTCTCACTAAAGTTAGTATACAATTTAATATAAAATTGTCGTTAGCTACCAGAAATGGTTTAAACAACTTTACTGAGCAGTAGTTTTCTAAAAACAGAGGCACTGTTTTTTCTTTTCCTTCTTTTTTTTTTTTTTTTAAATATAAAATACTTGAGGAACATTCAAATAAGTAGAAAGCATATAAGGGTTGCTTTCACCTTCATTAAAAGTCTGCTGAAACTGGATTTTTCATAAAACTGTCAATTAATAAGTAGTAACTGGTAACTAAATTTATAAAGTACTTTGAAAGTTTAACATAAAGAACATCTTAATAGAATCATTGGGGAGAAGGGGAACCCATAAATTTCCCTGCCTTTCCTAGTTTGTATAATCAAAAGTTAACTCAATAATTAGAAACATTTTGTTTCTTTTAAAAGTTATGGGTTGATCATTACCTATAAACTATCAAAAAATATTTAATTTACTATTTCTGACCAAAAATAAATAATACAAATACTAAATGCTGCAAATTAACTATAATATTACCTATAAAACTACTGATCACTGTGAAGTCAATAGCAAAATGATCCCTGATTTTATGAATCCTGTAAAGTTTTTGGTCAGGTCATCTTTTAAATGATATAAAAGTGTTCTGTAAGTATCCCTTTTCTATAAACTTCTCAATCAATTTATTAATGTAAATATAGTGTGAGGAATAAAAAAGCTCAATATAAATATTATGTAATGCATTCAGGCCCCCAAATTTTGCAAGTAAAATTCTGTATAAAGAGGTCAATAAAATTGTGTTGAAACATTTACTTTATCTTTTAACTGTGTTTTTCAATGGGGGGGGGAGGGGAAATATATTAAATAATCCAAGTTCTGGCCCTCACAAAATATGGCTTAATTCTTTAAAAAGAAAGATGACCCTGACATCTGCTGTTTTGCAATCCGTTATGTATACTTACTTGGAAAAAAAAAAAAAAAAACAAAAACAGAGCAAGAGGATTCATACCCTAGTATGCAGGTAACATTAAGCTGAAGAGGGTTCAGTGTAGCTCTAAGAGACCAAATAACTACTTGGTTGTGTAGCTTCCCACTCTTCAGTTTCTTTAAACATATGTAAGCAGTTTTTAAATGTAATAGCTGAAAATCTCTTTAGTATTACATGTATATGAGATTATTAGTTACACACAAACACAAGTGTAAAAACACAAGTATTTGACAAGGTGCACTTATTTTTTAAATTCAGCTTTAAGTATTCCTTTTGGACTTAGGAAAATTGGCTTAGAAAAATGATCAGAACCTGAATTTTAACAGAGAAAGGGGCACTCGGAGAATTCTGAATATATGAAGCAAATCCTCATTCTTTATATGGAGGCACATGCTTTATAACATTTTACCACTGCATACTCCATAAATCCAACATGGATACTCTGAACCACATTTTAAAACTGCTATATAAAAATTATTGGTCTCTCTTATGAGTCTGTAAAAGTTAAAATGCACTGCCCAGCTTCTAACTACCCAATTAGTAGAGTTTACATTACTGAAAGTTCAAAACAGCTTCAGTGTTAAATATCTGTAAATCTATTCAAGACCCTGAACAAACTGCAAATTTGGTTATTAGCAAAATGATAATGTATCGCCCACCAAAATGAAATCTGTAATTCATTTTGATAAACTGAAAATGTTTTGAAATGTCACAGCAGCAAATATATTAAAGTTACACTGAGGTTTTTCAATAGTAGGAGTGTGTCACAATCCTTAAAATTTAAAGTAGTCATAACATCAACTAACCAGCACATTTAAACCAAAATTATCATTCTCAAGCTTTTTCTGTGCACATTATAAACATGCTCTAAGTTGCATTCCAACTTTCTTTTCTAACCTTACACATTAGCTTATTTTTCAAATGAAAAACAAAATTAAATTATTTTAATAATTAAATTTAAATTACTTTTTGTTCTTAGTATTCCATCTTATATTAAAGGATTCTATAGCTGCTGGGGTTAACTATGTGTCAGTTTTCTTAAAAAGTATATACCTTATAAACCCCAACTTCCTGCAAATCAACTATTAAATGATAAATATTAAATTTCATTATACATATCATTTAAGGTTTTCTTTTCTATTCCTGGTGGATGCACTTGAGTGCATTTCATATTTCATAGAATACACTGTAGTGTAATACTGTATATATTAATTTTTCTTAGTATGGAGATAGCTGTCTATTTAAACTCTGATTGGTTGTCTGATATACTTACAATAGCCGTAAGTATATTATGTAAAAATGTTTACGAACTATTAATATCATATTTCCATTATAAGATGGTTCAACTGAATGGCTGGAGTGGTCTTTCACCAATAAAAATGTTTCACTCGACAATTACTTGTTTTCCCACAACGCTTTATGCTATTGACTACTAAAGAAAACCTGAATCTTTTCCACCTATTTATACAAGGATTAAATACAAACTATCAGAATTAAGTAAGCAACTATATAATTCTGTCCACAGTGAAAACCCTGAATAAAACTTTTTTTCAAAAGGCATGTAAGTGGTTTTTGAACTGTAAAATTTCATGTCTCCTGTCAGAGTGAGCATCTGTAATTCCCACATGTGTGTATACAGACACACAAATACACACCTGTGCACATACTCACACGCAAACACACACACACACACACACACACACACACACACACACACACACACACACACACACACACAAACATCTTCCTAACAAGTAATCTACACAGGCTTGCTGTTTTTGCAGCTGCCAGTCCCTGAATCTGTCATATTATATAACCCAGTGTCTGGTAATCGGAGTTTCTTCTTCGGAGGAGTCTTCAGTGTTCCAGATCTTTCTTTTACCTTGTATTCTAAAGTGCTGTGAGGTACCCCATAAATTCCTTGTGCTTTGGAAACACTCATCTTTCCGCTCATTACCATTGCAATAGCCTCTTCCATTATTTCATGATCATATTGGCGATAACGGCCACGTTTTTTCCTGGGCTGCTTATTATCTTTTCGATCCAATCCATCTTCAGTATTTTCAGAGGTTCCATCAACTGTTCCATTTTTAGAATTAAGACACAAAGGAGAGAGGTCCCCATGTAGAAAATAAGAGTCAACACTTGAGTGAGTTACAGGCCCAGAACATTCTACTTTGTTCTGTTTAGGGAGTATATTTTTCAGTTTTTGGAGAGCTGATCCTTCTAGGACTGGAGGAGAGGTTTTGGAAACTTGATACATAACATCCAGCAGACCAGGACCATCAGGTTGTGGTTTTGAAACAGAACTTACTCGGAGCTGAGGAATTTTTAACTGTACAGTAGGATGTGAAGTTTCATATTGTAGACTTTCATTTTTTTCTTTAAATTGAGTAACCATTTTCTGTAGAGTTAACTGATGGAGGTAACTGGAAGCTGTTGGGAATTTTAATTCTGAGGTTTCAAGTAGATTGAGTTTACTTTTTTCTGTGCGCTCTGCTTGAGCTCTTGCCCACAAGGCTACCTTTTGCAGCACTGCACAAGTTTCTTTACTGTCTTTATATGAGTAACTATCATTGAAATCTCGAGTTTTGTTTTTAAAAGATGCAGGCTTCCCTGCTGGTAAGGCTTCTAAGTGGAGAAGTAAAGTTTTTTGAGGTATGCCATAAAGTATGCCTGCTTTATTTATGTCCAGTGCTCCAGACTGAATGTCTTTCAAAGCTTTTGAGAGCAAACCATCTGCAAACTCAGCACTTCTTTCCACATAGTCCTCTCTGTTTCTGTGTAGTCTCCTGGATGGATGGAATGAAACGATGGTAAACTGATGCATGAGAGACTCTCACACAGCTATGGAAGGGAAGGGTCCACTCCTTTATTATACTCCTTGCTTAGGTAACATCACTGCTTATGACTCTTTTTAAGTCTGTGAGATGTAGTAGTTACTCCTTATCAAAGCAAACGCTACAGTCCTGGTAGGACAATGTGTCAATCATACGGTGGCCTCAACAGGCAGACCTTCCAAGAACATAAAATCCTAACTCAGTATTTGTAAAAATATTCTCATGATGTTGCTATTCCTCTGACAGATGCTTGCAGAGCAATACTTATAATTTTTATTTGTACAATTAGAGTTCCATTATAAAAAATACCCAAATCCTAAAGGAGTTTTTGTTAGTAGAAACGTGACGTTACCGCTAAACAAGTAATAAAAGAGTCAACCCCTTTAAAGGAAATTTGTAGCAGCAAGAATATTTCCAAACACAAACATCCCATATCTCCACAAGACTAATGTTTCTCTAGACAAAAACTTAAAATCTGAAACAAGTAGACAAGGTATATTTGGGTAAAATAATTTGATACTATAAATGTTATCTCTATTTCAAACATATCATTGTAATTTTCAAAGTTTCTCAAACACAAGCTAACTGTACCTTAAGATTCAAAAGCTACTACAGTTGAAACAAATTACACTCTACATCGAAGATTTAAATGTGACAAAAAAGCTTCCTATGCAGTTTGTTAATGGGAAGATGCAAAAGTTACTAAATAAAAATCCAAAAATCCAACAGAACAGCATTTCACTGCTAATTATTTTCACTGCTAATTATTTATTTAATTAATGAGAACTTTGAAAGCATGAAAGGACTTTTTGTGGTGCTTACTAGATATATATTATTATATATATTATATAAAGTTTGCCACCACACCTAAAGCACAGTGAAAAAAATGTAAACATTATAAACTAACTGTAAGAATTAGTAAGTACAGTACTTTTAAAATTTGTTGATTGTTTTAAAAAAATTAAATAGTGAAATCACATATTTCCCTTAAAATTGCCTCCTGAGTACTGAATTTTAAATTTTCTTTACTCGTCCTGCTTCTTGGTTTGTAGTCTATGGTTAAGTTGGTAGTTCATTTTAGTAACATGAACTAAAGTTTGGTGATTGTTCTGATAACTTTTCTTTAACAGAAAGAATAAAAAAGAAAGAGAAAGGACGAATGAGAGGTATGAGAGACACACACTTATGAGTGACAAAAATTCTGGAGGAAAGCTATATATGTCAATCTACTCAAAGTAGTATTAAGAGTTCTCTGTAGAGATAATTTTATATTAATATTAAATTATATTTCCTAGATATTGCTTACCCAGCCATTGAATTTTCAGAAGAAGGATCACATATGGATGACTCTTCAGATTTTATGCTGGTTTTCTTTGTAGAGAGATCTAACACTCCATCCCCTATAATTTTTGCAAGAGAAAAAACTTTATATTTGTGACAAATAGGTAATCCTTACATTTTAACATTTCATATTTTGCTGATCTACTAATTCATGACCTAAAAATTAACACCTGTATTTGACATGTGGCCATTACCAACTCATTTGGTGGTTTTAGCAACAGGACATGACTGGGAAGGCACTACATAGGAAAAAAGAACAGAGAAGGAGCTGGCATATTGTAAGTGATATGAAGAAACAAACAGGCTATGATACAAAATCTGTTTAAAAGCAACACTTGGTCACCTTTCCCACTGTTGTGCAGTGAACAGCCATTTAACTGCTTATCCATGATTTTTTTTTCTATTCAAGGCTGCCCAGATGATGCTCTGAGAAAGTAGGAATGATGTAAGTTGTACAAAACAGAGACCACAGAAAAAAATGATGATGAATAAGAGAACAATAACTAGCATTTACTAGGACTAGCAATATGTGGAACATATACTTTGGGTAGTAAACTGTGACTCTTATGTATAACCAATGTATTTTTAGAATTCAGTGTAAGATTTTACAGTTTTAAATAACTGAAACATAGAACAGTTGAATCACTGTCTATATAATATAGTGTTTATATCTGTTACTGAATGAAGACATAACCAGTAAGAATATGACATCTTAGGAAAAATAGCCTGTTAGAAAACAACTGCTTAAGTATTTATTAAAATGTAGTTATTTTTATTATTGTTATAATATTGAATTTCCATAAATAAAATCAATGATTCAGACATGTTAATCTGACAAATCTGAGGGTCAAAAAGAATAAACATAAACTATGAATTGGAAACACAGCACTCAATAATACTGTGAATATTTCTTTACTGATAGTTTAAAAACTGAAAAGTTATAAAGAATCATTATAAGAAAACATATGTCTAAAAAATATACTAAAAAATTCAAGCTGGTTTAAAAAAAATTCAACTGGGTTTTCTTGTTACCATATAAATTCATCTAACACTTAAGTACCCTGCAAGATACAAATACAGGAAAATAAAACAGTCTCACTCATAACCTATTATTATTATGTATAATTCAATAATAATTTTATGGAGTGCTTACTATGTGCAAAGCACTATTTTAGGAATTTAGAAGCAGCAGTAACAAAGGTATAAAAATAAAAAGTACTAACTGTCATGGTACCAACCATGACCAACCAAACATGTTACCTGGGGGAAAGCTTCTATAAGGAACAGTTTGTACAAAGGTTGTGATACGGAATCATTTCTAAAATGTTTGTGGAATAGCAAAGAAGCCAGGGTGGCTGGAGTGGAGTAACCCAGGCTGAGTGAAATGAGATCAGAAGTGTAGGAAGGCAGGAGCGCCTGGGTGGCTCAGTCGGTTAAGAGGCTGACTTAGGCTCAAGTCATGATCTCGCTGTTCGTGAGTTTGAGCCCCACATCAGGCTTTGTGTGGACAGCTCAGAGCCTGGAGTCTGCTCCAGATTCTGTGTCTCCCTCTCTCTCTGCCCCTTCCCTGCTTGCACTCTGGCTCTCTCTCAAAAACAAATAACGGAAAGAAAGAAAGGAAGGAAGGAAGGAAGGAAGGAAGGAAGGAAGGAAGGAAGGAAGGAAGGAACAAAGAAAGAAAGAAACAAAGAAAGAAACAAAGAAAGAAACAAAGAAAGAAAGAAATGTAGGAAGGCAGATCACATTAGGCCTTATAGGCCATAGTAAGAAATTTCTATTTTACTTTGAGAGAGACAGGAAAGGAGGATTGGAGTATTCTGAGCATAGGACTGACACAATTTTAATTTATGCTTTTAAAGGATCAATCTGCTGTGGTGAGAATGGACTGCAAGGGGCTAAGGGTGGAGGAGGGAAACCTGTTGGGAAAGTGGTATGAGATTTCTCAACTCTGGGCTTACACACTTTGTTAGTTTCCTCTGTTAGAATACTCCAAATCCTCTCTTTCTATCCCCACACTCCTAATTCTCACCAAATCTTACTCTCAATCATTCAGGACGCAACTTGGATTCGGTTGGTTGTCATTGTTCTAGGTTCCTATACCTGCAACACTACATTATTTAGCACTTAGTATGCTATATTCTAGTTGCTTATATACTTACCACTGTTAGCCATGCAGACTCTAAGCTATGTGAAGGCAAAGACCATGTCTATTTTATTCAGCCAGATATCCCCACTGCCTAGAATAGTGCCTGGCACACAATAAGTGTTCAGTAAATACTTGCTGAATAGAATTTGGAAGAATTAAAAGGGGAGACTGGACAAGTAAACACAGAATATGGTACACAGTACCTTAAAAAATTGTTAAGTGAAGCATCTCATCCCATGCTACCCATGAAGCTCAATTTTTTATGCTTTGTCTCCAACTCAACTCAACCCTCATACTTCCTGTGTCCCTAACTACTTGCAGTTCCTCAAACATGGTATGTGGTATCAGGTCTCTCAAACTGCAGTGTACGGTTCCCTCTGCCTAGAGTGTTCTACCTTTTCAACTTGTCAAACTCCTACTCATCTTTAAAGATCCACATGCTCCCAAGCAGAAGCAGATTTTTGTTTCCCTTGTGTCAACAGCATGCTATAACACTTATGACACTGTCTTGTAATAACTGACTTATAGATCTTTTTCTCCCACAAGACTGAATTCCTCAGGCCAGGGATCTATTTATTTGTATTTCATAAAGAATAGAGTGCTGTGACCTACTGAAAGAAGAAAGAGAGAAATGTCCTTTCCTTTACTATCTCATTTCTCTTCTTCAACAACTAAATTTTGCTAACTCAAGACCTTATAAAATCATTTTCTTCAAAAAATCATTACTACCTAATTTATATTCAAATTTAACACTGAATTCATTAGTCTTGATTCTGCTCCTGTTTTATGTAGTTTGTAGCACATAAAACATGCTCTCCGTAAGTCTGTTATTCCTAGTCAATGTTACAAAATGAATTAATGAAATTTCTCCAATTCTAAACTCTTCTAACAAAAGTAACACCAACAATAAATGAGTTAATTAAAAAAAAAACACAAAAAACAAACAAACAAAAAACTCTTCTAGACTTTTGATATGGTTGATTTAAAGTTAATTATTCCACAGTCCAGAAATAAGAAAAGGAGATACAAGGAACTCCTCTTCCTCCTTTACATTAACTACGCAAATTAGGTTGTTGCTCCCTAGCTAGGGCAATAAAGGCATTCTTGTCCTTTTTGGACCACTCCTAGAGACAAGGACCTGGCTGGAGATAATTTTAAGGATGAACTAGACCTAAGTCCTGTTCCATCTTTAAGAGAGCTACCCAAATCAGGCTTATACTCCTGATTCTTCTTTTTTCAAAACTCTAAACAGTGACCAGAGTGAGAAATGCTTTAATTTTTTTCCCCCACAGCCTTGTCCCCATCCTAGGGTACCTATGTTAAATGTTTTGCTTTAAACGTATTTGAGAACTTAAGGAACACATTATAGTCTGTTATCCAGTTAAAATGGCAAATATACTCCTTCAGCATATTTCTGTCACACAGTAAAATCACTCAATCAATGAACACTTATGTAGTGAATACAGGATACATAAATACGTAAGTAAAGAATTTTTAGAAAAATTTTAGTTATCACAGAAAATCTCACTTTTTGTTAGCAGTGCCTTGGTCTATACTAAAGTATTTTGCTGATATCATGACTCCAGTAGCTCAAGAGCTAGAAAAACCATAAAGAGTCACCTCTAGGATTGTCCAAATTAGAAAAGCAAAAACAAGAAAAGGAGAGAGATAGCTTGGGAAGAATGACAGAAAATGAAAAGATCAGGAATGGGGGGTAAAGGGGATTTTCTTGCTCCTGCTGCTGATTTAGATATAGCTGTAGTGATAACATCTAGAAGAATCACTCCTTCAGAATGGAGTTAGCACACCATAACTAGATTGTCTTGTGTGTATATATTTCCAAAGTACTAATAATTAACTTGATGGATAAAAACTAAGTACTTATTATGTATGCTCTAGGGCAATCTAAACTAAGTAGAAGACAGACTGAAATTTATTTACCATTCAACTATTGGCAGGTACATAAGGTTGTTTTCGTTTTACACTATTACAAACTATATTGAAATGAAAATCCTTCTAAATGCTTTCTTGTGTTCATGTATAAGAATTTTTCTAAGTTATACACAAGAAGTATAAGTGCCGGACTTTACAGTTTGAACTTTAGTAGATATCACCAAATTTCTTTCCCACATCCTTGACAACACTTGGTGGTGTTGAGATTTTTAATTTTTGCTAATTTGGTAAGAAACGCAAGTTGCAGGAGTAAATTAACAAGAGTGCATTTAGTATGCATTAATGTGAACTTCTAAAGCACACAAAAAGATTTTGCTTATTAATGTACGAATAGGTATTATCAGGGGTTGCTTCCAAAAGCAAACAAAAGGATGTGATAGTTGCTTAAGAGAAAGCATATCAGAAGCAAACATGATCAAATAACATATTATTAGTTCTGGGTGACAGGAACATGACTATTATACTGTATATTTCTATACAATTGAAAATTTCCTAATAATAAATACAGATTATTTCCATTTACTAGTTATAGACTGGGTCTGAACACTACAGTTTACTTATTGTCGATCAAACACTAATATGACATGTATAGAATTAAAGAGGGGCCAGTGTAATCTTTCAACAAGGTCAGGTAAACTGTATATATTATACTACAAGAGATAACTTTTTAAATGGACCAATGCTTGAAAAACTGAAATCATGACTAAACTGGGCAATTTCTTGATATAAACACTTTACTGGGTTAATTTTTTTAGAATTCACCTTCTTTTAAAATCAAGATTTGAATTTTCATTAACAGATTTTCAGTTCTGTATTTTCATGCAAATTCCTGATCAAGGATCTATTCAAAGGAGACAAATGCAACTGTTATAACATAGAATTGTATTTCACCACTCCAAGGACACCATTCTTTCCTATCTCTAATCTTATGGCCTTTGTCCATTCTTCAAAGTATGCTCT